CCCTCCCGCGCTAGCCTAAGGGCCACCTTAGCAAAGCGCATCCCAGGCTGCATAGCCGCACTACCCTACCCAACCATACCACACATAAACATGACACTACCCCCGGGGTTTACACAGACGAGCCGGCGAAGCAAGAAGAGCGCCAGAAGAAAGGGCCCTAGCCGGCGGGGCCCAGCCAGGACAAAAGGAGGTCCCACAAAGCGCCTACACCGGCCGCACTTGCGGTCGGGGTAGACGACGGATGGGGCCCACCTACGAAGGCTGTCCAGGCCTACACGAGATGAGGCAGGATAAAGAGGGATAATCCCCCTCGATCCCAAATCATTGAGGCCAATTTCTAGCCATGGAATAATGGCGCGCGGCGCGCTTAACACCTCGAATTCAAGAATCTGTGCTCAATAAATCCGTGTTCCATGTTTCATGTTGATATGTCAAGTTCGTTCATGAGTTCGTTCACTTATTTCCGATCCTCTCTACCTTTTGTGTTCCGTGTAGTGCAGGTTGAAAAGGGCAAGGTAGCGACATCAAATCGGGCATTTATTTGTCGCCTGTAAATTATAATTTCTTTAAAAAAATGTTATCCAGAGCTGTTTTATCAGGTAAATTAGTGAAATCTACAGTAGTTTTCAATGAGAAAATGAAATTTCATAACGCTGTAATAACTTGTAAAACTATGGTTTATGTAATAGTTGCCTATGACGTTTTTCATCTTTTAATTTTTTGAATAACTTTTTAGGCCAAGCATCTAGAGCCCTCATAGCTTTCAGTTCAAGAACTACCAGCACGTCTTCTGTCAACAATCAATCTGCATCAGATGCACCACAAGCACAGACCAGTCTGAGGCCCGTAAGTTTTTATTTTTAGTAAGGTCTGTACCTCTCGGAGGATACTATGGTTTAATAAATTTTCAATTATTAGTACAAGAAACAACTGGTAGGAGAGAATTAATAAGACATTTAAATATAAAAAAATGTAAGATATAGTCCTCGTTGAAAGACAATATGGATATTACCCTAATTTTAGCTTAAAATAATAAATTACATGTTTTGAAAATTATATTTATTTATTTATATATACTTGGACTAACGATTTTACTGACCAATTATTGTTTTAGGTAAGACAAGAACCTGGTAAAGTTAGACTAGGTTTTATTCCCGAAGAATGGTTTCAGTTCTTCTATAAGAAAACTGGCGTAACAGGTCCATATACGTTTGCATTCACTCTGTCCACTTATCTGGTCAGCAAAGAAATTTATGTCTTGGAACATGAGTACTATTCTGGTCTTTCTCTTCTGATTATGTGGATAGTGGCAATTAAGAAGTTAGGGCCACCAATCGCTGCTTATCTTGATAAGGAAGTTGATGTAAGTTTACTCTTTTAAGAATCTGTTTAATTAAAAAAAAAACTGATAACGTAACTGTAGTATAAAGGTAGCCTATTAGTGTGGAAGGTAAAATAGCTCTATTATTATTCAAGATACAAAAACAAGTGAAGGAGATGAAAAATACTGTGTTTTGAAATGTACTTGTTGTCGTATGAGTTTTTTAAAAGAACATTCTGTATATTTTTACTTATTCAAATTGATGGTAGTGAGATCTCCATATTGTTTAGAAAACTATTACGGGGAACATCAGAGTGGAAGGTGGAAAAATTGGGTGAATTTTAGGAATTATTATCTTAAAAACTACCTGTTCCATTCTTTCCAGATTTATTTTGTTCGAAAGTATACGTGTTGAGGTGTGTTGACAAATTTCTTTATAAATATATATTGACTAGAAGCACCACTGTCATAACTGGCATTGGCGTAAAAATGTCCTTTGCTCATACAGTTTGTGGTTTTTAAGATTACATGCAGTCGGTTGATATGAAACAAAAATCTCAAAAAAATTCTAAAAATGTAATATATGATGCCCTTCGCAATGTAGGATTTAAAAAAAAAATTATCTAATGGTGGCCGATTGAATGTTACATTCATTTTTCAACTTTAATTTCTGACCTTTACTCTATGGCTTAATAAAAAAAATAATTAAGTGAAAAAAAATTTTACATTGCGAAGTAAAAAACCTGTTTGAAAAATATTGTATTAAATTTTTGAATCAATCTGTGGAGCAGTTTTCCAAATCTTTTGACGTGTTCAGTGTCTTCGATTTCACAATGCTGATCAATGTTTCCTCCCACCTTGATGCCTAATGATTCCGGTAAATTTACAAATATTCTTAAGACTACAAACTTTAAGTTAAGTGAACATTTTTTTCTACTCAGATATTCCCACTTAAATTTTGCTGAAGAGATAAAAAAATAAACCTGATGATGGCCCCTCAAAGACGAAACGTCGGATTGCAAAAAATGTTGACGCCATTGTATAGAGCGAAAAAGTGGCAATGTAAATATGCAATTTATTTTAAAATCCGTTTTCAAATAAAGCCAGAAAAAATAAAACCATTTTGCAAAATATTGGGTTTTTCCAGATATCTCCGGAACTACCCAGAATTTTAAAACTTTCTATAAGTCATATTATTAGGAATAAATACACAACTTTTTTCTAATTTGAGCCACCCCCTGTCTCTTACCGTTTCCTATATCCTAATGCTATCCCATCCTTATCTTGGACACACTGTATATTTGCTTTTCAAAAAAAACAAAATTAAATGCAACACCCTGTATTTAAATATTTCATTAAGTATGTACAGTTCTATTTTCTTTAACTTTTGTAAAGGTTTTTCTATAGCTATTTTTACTAATTTTGGAATTATAGGGTGTATCATTTTTAAATACGGACAATTTCAGATAGATATGTATAAATATGTGAAAAGTATAAACTTTTAGCTTTATATATTTTTTTGAGATGCAGGGAGTTTCTATATTGTGGTATAACTTCGAAACGGTTTAATAGATTACTTTGTACGTAGTTTTATTTTAAGAAATGCCATAAAATTATGTGAAAGATTCTGTTAAAAAAATAATTACATAGGCGTTGCTACGGAGGAAGAGAATCTTCTTTTTTTAAAACGAAATCTATGCCAGTGACAATTTTCTGTTAGTTTTAGTTTTCAAATTTGTTTTAAATGCTACAATTTTGTTATTTTTAAAAATTTTTAGTATTTTTCTAAATCATAAGTGCATTCTTTTACCTGTTTTACCCTCTTTGATTTTTTTACAGGGAGACATAATATTAACAAATTCTTTAATGAACTTTTAAATAAGAAAAAATATGACAGATGTTTGACAAACTACACTTGTTTCACTAAACTGTGTTACTATAATTGAGTTGGGACATTTTCAACTGAAAATTTCAATGAAACTAATATTTATTTATGACATGGTACTAAAAGTCAATGATACTTCTTTGAAAACTTAAAATTTAAATCATAAACTAATGTAAATAAAATTAAAAAACTCATTAAAGATGTTCAAAATGTAATTATATGGATAGATGGCATAGATTTCTTTTTTAAAAAATAGGGTCCTCATTCTCCATATCTGCGCCTATGTAATTATTTCTAAGAAAGTTTTTCATACAATTTTATAATCTTTGTTAAAAAAAAATTACAAATTTACCGCAAAAAACTTAAAATAAACTAATTAAACATGAAACATGAAAAAAATTTATTTTTCATGTATTTCAAAAACCATGCATCATCTCATGAAGACATTTTATAGTTAGGGCATAAAATTATTATTTTTCACAGCTAACTATTCTGAAATTTTAAAAAATAATTCGGAAATAAATTTTAGAGAATTAAATACGAATTGTAAAAGAATTCTACTGATTTTCTTTTTCAAACTGAAACTATCAAGATTACTCTCAAGGGAACACAACTAAGCATTTATTTTTTTTATGTTATTATTTCATTAAAGTATTTATTGCTTTTAAAAGACATGGAAGCTATCATGCTGAGAATTAAAGAAGTTGTATATTCCCAAGCATAAAATATTAATATATTGTTATAAACAAAAACAATTATTGCCAATAATTTCCTTTAATCAAAGTAAAATGTACATTCTCAATTATTATTGTTTGATATTCAACTCTAATTCTAACTAACTTATCCTTTGTTTCTATTCCTGTATCCAACTACTTTGTTTATATAAAAATGTTTATAAAATTATGAACAATCAGTCTATTCAGCCTTTCGGGACACACACACTGGGTCGCCTGGTCTTTCTTTCCCGCTCTTCATAACAATATAAAATAAAAATGTTCACTACTTTGAAAATGTAAATTAATGTAAATTGGTGATAAACATATTTTTAATTTTCCATTACTTTTAAGATTTAATTGTGCATGTCTTATCTAGCAAATTCAGAGTGGTAGAAAAAAGTTTTTTAAACACTTAAAAGTGTGGAAAACTTGAAAAATATAAACTAAGTACGAATATTAAATTNATAAAAAAAATATAAAATTCCAATCTAAATATGAAAAAAAATAAAGATCACTTGATAACTTTTCTAAAAGTTCATATATATGACATGTATTTGGTGTCAAATTAATCAGCAAGGCATTAGCAATATAAAAAAACTAATTTGAGTATAGTTTTTTTTTAACAAAATTCATCTGATATATATAATGATATATATTTTGATATATATCACCCAAAACTAAATAGCATGCTATTTTACATCACTATTTATAATATATAACATACTTTGGATAGAAATCATTGTCTTCATATTTTACGACAACTTTCCCGTCAGGTTTAACTGAAGTATCGCAGGACTCAATGGGTATTGTCATAGAGGGGTCTCCAATGCAGGTTGATTTTATTAATACATCAGCAACAAACATAATCCTTCGAGGCAAAAAATAATTTCTGGGATAGTAACTGGAGTAGTTGGACTCTGGTGAAAAGGAAACTCCTCTTCCAAATCTGTGTCCCACACTCGTACCAGCCAACCTCCAATTAAAATTTTCCCGACAGATAGCTTTAATACTAGATTCTGTTGTCCCATGAAATAATTGCCTTTCTGAACATTGTTTCTTTAACTTCTTTAAATTGTATTGGACAAACAAATATGGGTTCTCTACTCTTTTTATTTTACAGACACTGTAAGGTTTTCTCATGGAATTGTCAAACAACATTTTGATTCGCCTGTATTCAATTGTATGTTTTTCTAATTTAGTTAACCTTCCTACTTTATTTGTAAAATCGGTTGTTGCCCAAGTTGCATGTTCTTGAGAATTCAATGCACCCAGCAAATCTGACAAAATTTTTGGATTTTTTTGTACCAGCAATGGTTTTTCTGATTCTTGCTTGATTTGTAAACGTTTTGATGGACTTTTAATTTGTAAATTATCGAAAATACTAGACAAACTGTCTACATTTAGTTGGGCACTCATGTTTATTTTTGGATATGTGTATATAAACTGATGTAAATATTATGCACTTGCACTATGCACAATTTAACTGGAAGGACTGGTGCCTCACAGGTCTTTACATGGGACTCCCCCACCAACTGCATTATATTAGTATAAGTTGTAACTATATGGAGTATGGAGCCTGCAGATAAGAGAATAGCGTCATGTTTCTGTTTCTCTCTTTTATTTCCTTTGATATTATCTACTCCAGCTGAATATTCAAGTCATTACCATAAATAGATTAGGATTGTTACACACTAATCATAACATTCTAGAATTAGTACAGGATGGAGTATACAAGATGGTTCGATTTCCTTTAATCAAACTTTATAAACGGGTAGTTTATCAAAAAATGATGATGTTTGTTATACCGGGTGTTAGTGATATTCTTTACCAAACTTTATTGATGGTTCCCAGGGTACAAATAAATAAAAGAATTTCTTACATATCCGTGTTCGAAAATGCTTTGTATGCCAAAAGGTATACAGGGTGTTGAAATTAATAAAATTATCATTTTTATTTAAATATATTCTTAAGATGCAGATAGATTAGACTTGGCTGTTGACTTTACTAATTATTGGCAAAGATTTGCTGAGATACTTGAAAATGTAATCACATATAAAAGGGCTCTCAAGCTTTCAAGAGCTTTTCGAAAAATTTGAATCCGTCAATTAGGAAAGCTCTGGCGCTTGTTTAAACATAGGTCGAATTTTTGTACTTATAAACAATTAGAATTACTGTGAATCAAATGCTCAATTACATGAAATTTTTTAAAGCAGGTTTTAAAAGTTATTGGAAAGACGCTTCTTTAAAAAAAAAAACAGATCGATTGGTCAATTAGCTACGTAGTTATAGCCGATTCAATTTCGAGCAGGCTGAAGAGGCTGCGCTTTCTGCTTTCCCCACCACCACCACCCGTACGATTTTATTGAATTTCTCGCTTGCTTAAATAACTTTAAACATGTTTTAAAGTAGGTTGCCAATGAAGAAAAGTCGGCTATAACTATGTAACTAATTGATCAATCGTTCTGTTTTTTTTTTAAAGAAGCGTTTTTCCAAGAACTTTTAAAACCTGCTTAAAAAAATTTGATTAGATTGAATATTCACAAAGATATTCTAATTGTTTATAAGTATAAAAATTCGACCAATGTTTAAACAAGTGCCAGAATTCTCCTAATTGACTGATTCGAATTTTTCAAAAAAAGTTTGAGAGCTTTAGAGTTCTTCTATAAGTGATTAAATTTTCAAGTATCTAAGGGCCATGGTTTTTGCTGTGCAAAATTTTGAAAATTTGCGAAATTTTTTTTTCAAAATTTGGATTGCAAAATTATTATGCAACATCTATAGAACCGATTTTGATGAAATTTAGTGTGATGATTCTACATAATATAAAGTTTTCTTGAGACGAGTATAAAGATCCTATACCCAATTTGAATACCCCAAAAAAATTCCCTAAAAAGTATTATTTTTTAATCCCATTTTTGCGATTTTTTTTATTTTTACCATAATAATCATGATTCATTCGATTTGTAACTAGTCATGTTTTGTAAAAAATGTAATTACAAACATTTTTTTCCTCTTCCATTTTCGCCTAAAATCAACTCTTGAAAAGATACATAATTAAATAGGAAGAAAAATATGACATTTTTCAAACTTTTTTAACATATTGTGCTGCCAAAAGTTAAGCCCACGTTTTTTTTTTATGCGCATAGAAAAAATTTCATTTCTAGTGATATTTGAAAGCCAAAAAGCCAAAAATCTCCGTGGATATACGATTCACCCAAATATGACTTTCTGAAACAGATACCGTCTGGACTATATTTTGTCACCCATATTACAATACTTAACAAAATACTAGTAGGCTCTGATTTTGTAGGTTGACTGTAATGTCAGTATGATCTTTAAATCATTGTACCTGCCAATTCTGTTTTACTAGAAGCGGAACAATAAATAGTCACAACGAACATGTGTATGCTCAAGAAAATCCTCATGCTATCAAAGTGAATCATTAACAGCATGAATTTCACATCAATGTTTGGTTTGGGATCATTGATAGCATTATTATTGACCCGATAAACTGAATGGGGAAATTTTTTTTAAGATTAATAAAATTTAAAATCGTTAACTACTAGCACTTTTTTAAATATTGTAATATGGGTGGCAAGATAATGTAGACATTCAAAAATTATTTTTTTTGTACCCAAACCACTCATTCAATCAAAATTCTACAGGAGGTCCAAAAACTTCCAAATGGTATCACCTATCAAATTAAAAATAGTTTTCATTATTGACCGAAAGGGGAAAAAGCTATGAACGGATATTATCACCATACATCAATTTTGTAGGAGTTATGAGTTTTAAAAAACACTCTGTGTAACACCAAATTTTGTAGATTGAAATCAAAAGTCCACACCCCAAAAATAATCAAAATCGATTAATACCTATCCGAGTTATTTACAGAATTCCAAAAAGTTTCACAAACTTTGATGCCATCTAGCGGCCAAAAGAAGCGATTTCGGGTATAGGTGAATTAGCCTAAATCTGTCTATTTTGAGTCCACGAATCTGTGCTCTTCCGTTGTACACGTTATTTTGGGACAGCCTGTATAAATTTTTATTTGATTTTTAAAATTTTTAGTCAAATTGTTATGTACGCCATTGTTATGAACTTGTGACGTACTAGACTATGTACATATTATTACAGAAAACTCTTATTAAGTAATTCCTCTCTGTTTTCTATTACTAAGTAAAAGGAGAAGGTCGGTGGTATGAGATTTTAGGTGAACTTCCTATTAATAAAGACAAATTTGTTTTAGTTTTACGTTTTCGTAAAAACTCAGTACCGATATCTGTAAATTTTTGTCCTTTCGTAATAAATACTTTGCACAAATAAAATTAGTCCTGAAGATATTTTAAAAATGTAGTAAAATGCTACCTCAATTTAAATAATATTAAAATACCGGGTGTTTTAGAGTTGAGGTGACAAAAGCCTAGGGGAGATTCCGCTCAGCAAAATAGGTAAAAATGTTCATATGAACATGGGTCCCACAAGTTCACTAATATAGCAAGTTTTTTGTCACAGTTTAATTTTTAGGTAATACAGGGTCGGAAAGTCCCCATGGTTCATCGGCCGTTACGTGAGAGCGATAAAGAAAGTCATAGAAATCTGTGCGATAGAGAAAGATGGCTATAATGAAGGCGTATAATAGTCACTGCCCATTTCGCCCTTCCACAAATAAGATCCACTTCTTATTTGTGGAAGGGCGAAATGGGCGGTGACTATTATACGCCTTCATTATAGCCATCTTTCTCTATCGCACGGATTTCTATGACTTACTTTATCGCTCTCATGTAACGGCCGATGAACCATGGGGACTTTCCAACCCTGTATATCGAGGGCGTCATATAAGAAGGGCGCAAGAGCCACTATAGTTGGTTTTGGATTTTTAGGGCGTATGACCTCATTTAATCAATTCGCTTAATATATATGAATTGCTTATATATTCATAAACATCAACACTCTATTCTAACGCATTTTACCTAGGCGTATGAACCAATTTTGCAAAACTATAATATCAGAGAGGCCTATCCTGTAAAATTTCAGATTTGGTTCATACGCCCTTCTGATATGATGCCCTCGATATGAAAATATGACAAACACTCCAATGACAGGCAAATAATAGAATTAGCTAAACTAAATATAAAATTTGATTAAGGGATAACTTTTTTATTAGCACCTTCAATCAAATATTTGTTTTAGGAATACGAATCCGCATGGAATAAGAGCCGAGTGGAAGAAAAGCAAGTCCTCGGCGAACAAATCGCCGACGAAGAAAAGGCACAGTGGAGTCTCGAAGGTCAGAACCTTCTTATTCAAGCTAAAAGGGAAAACGTCGCCCTTCAGCTTGAAGCAAACTATCGCGAGAGACTCGTTACTGTATACAATGATATCAAGAAACGCCTGGACTACCAAGTTGAAAAACAAAATATCGAACGGAGAATTGCCCAGAAGAACCTCGTCGATTGGGTAGTAGGCAAGGTCAGGGCCTCCATCACTCCAGACCAAGAAAAGCAGAACATTAACAGATGTATTTCTGATCTGGGGCTTCTAGCAAAGGCTTAAGTTGTATACATATTAATAGTGAATAGATAAATCTATAATCTACACACTTTTTAATTAATTTGCTGTAAGAATTGAAATCGTGGAAATGTAGCAGCAATTCGGTGCATACTACTGATAAAATAAATATTTGTTAATTAAAATGATATTGAAGTGATATTTCCAGTTCTTTTTTGCAGTATAGTACAGTTTATATCGACAAAAAAAAAGCCTCGTTGCTTATTGCGTTTCTTCACAGGAAATTTCAGGAAATATATTTTTAACTCGCTACTCCGAATCTAAAAGCAGATTAAAATTATTTCGGTCATGTTTTTTGTTGGATATACTAAAAATAGAATAGTTTCACAACAGTATTATTTTACACAGACGGAAATGACATAAGAAAACAAGAGTTTATATTACCTTAAAACTTTAAAAATTTATTATGAACATTTAAGGTGTGGTATGAAAATAGGAAAATAAAACACATTTTTTCCACTTACTGTATGCCCATTTTTCGAGTCGCACCATGGTCATAGTTACCTTAAAAAATGATGAAATTAGAGAAAATTGGAGGATTTGGTGATGAATAATTTATAGAAATTGACTTGTTTTTCCTTTCGAAGTTACTTTTAATTTTTCTTTAATCTTTCTTTCACATTGCTAGGACACTTTTTTATGGAGAACCTTAAGTATGTAGTTTATTATCCGCAGCACCACCAGTATGAAAAACAGACATTCCTACATTCTCTTAATGGCAGCATATTGAATTTTAGTATGTTATGGTTTATATTTTTTGTTTTCGTCGAATACAAAACTCCACTGTAACAAAGAGTACTGTGAAAACAAAACGTCCAACTATTACGTCAAACAAAATTTTGACAGTTCACAAAATTTTGACAGTTCAGTTTTCATCAACAATATCAAAGTTTAGAATACTAAAAATTCTATTTTCATATGAAGAAGAGTGAGATATGCCTCAAATTTCTTGATCGATTTATATTTTTTTTATTGTTTGTATTTCCAGTTCTCTAAGCTTTGAAATTTTCGATGAAAACTCAACTGGACTGTCAGTTTTGTTTGGAATAATATTTGATGTGTTGTGAAAACAAAATCACTCGACTGGATTGTTTTCACAGCACTCTTTCTAGATGAATAAATTAGCATTTCAACCATAACAGAACAGTAAACTATATAGGCCAGGAAATATTAAAGTTGATGCGACTTTTTGTTTCGGCAAGCTGAATTTATCACTATAATTGCTAAATATTATGTACAATAACATATTAGTTTTCACAGCCATAAAAATGGGGGGAAGATTGTTCACAGGGTGGTTAATTGTATAATTTTTATGTAAATTCACGTTTTTCGCGTATAACTTTTTTCCATTCATTTCACGAGAAAACAGTAAGGTACTTTTTTTTTCGACTTCACAAGACCTACAAAACTAGCCCTCGAGCATCAAAAAATATTGATTAGATCAAAAGTTATAAACAGAAGAAGTTTATTTATGACTTTTGAATTAAACATTTATAAACTGCGTTATTATTACCAGAACGTTTTGGCATCACATCCTCTCATTCCATATCACTGTCTAATAACTCACACGAAATCTGGAATCGGTAAGTTCAATAGTTTACAAATTATGGCCTTATAAACAAATGAACTAATTATTAGTCTGAACGATCCTGAGGATATTCCACAATTGCACTGATTTTTTTCATGGTAGATTTCATAATAATACATTGAAATCTATCATTTTATTTTTTTTTAATTTAAAATTTGCAACCTGGAAAGTTTTTTATTATTATTTTTTAGCCTTAGTTGCAAGATGGAATATACAACGTACACACGTGATATATTATTACATATTCGGGAAGCTTATGAAAAGAGCTTTAAGTTAAAAAATCTTCAAGATTCATTGAAAAACAACGGAGTTACAGACTGTCAAAGTTGATGGATTATTGTTAAACAAATTAGGTTGGTAGCGGCAAAAAAAAACTGTGATAACCTGCAACACGAGTACTTTCTCAGATAAAAATATTTTATTTGTGGAAGTATGTTAAGTGCATAAGAAATATTGTCAAAAGTCTGTGGGTTGCTTGATTTTTCGGCGAGCCGTGGCGCGGCGGAAGGATGGGGGAAGCAAACGACAGCGAGTCCAAAGAAAGTGACGATAATATTCATAGTCCTGCCGTTAAAAAAGCGGAATTTGCTTTAAAATATTATATTTGACAGTCTGTACCTCCGTTGTTTTTCAACGAATCTTGACGTGCGTGTGTCGTATATTCCATTTTGCAACTAAGGTTAAAAAATAAAAAAAATTCCAGGTTGCAAATTTGAAATTAAAAAAAAATTATAGATTTCAATGTATTATTATGAAATCTACCATGAAAAAAAAATCAGTGCGATTGCGGAAGTGATCGTCCAGTCTAATAAATTAGTTAATTTATTTATAAGGCCATAACTTGTAAACTATTCAACTCACCGATTCCAAATTTCGTGTGAGTTATTAGATAGTGAATGAGAGGATGCGATGCCAAAACATTCTGGTAATAATAACACAGTTTATAAATGTTTAATTCAAAAGTCATAAATCTTCTGTTGATCTAATCAATATTTTTTGACGCTCGAGGGTTAGTTTTGTAGGTCTTTTGAAGAGGAAAAAAGTGATTTACTGTTTTCTCGTGGACATGAACAGAAAAAGTTATAAGCGAAAAATGGAATTTACGTAAAAATTATACAATTAACCACCCATTTTTATGACTGAAAACTAATATGTAATTGTACATAATATTTAGCAGTTATAGTAAAAAATTCAGCTTGCCGAAACAAAAAGTCACGTCCAACTCTATATTTCCTGGCCTGGAAAACACAAAATGTAAACTATTTCATTTTTTGTTTTTGTTGAATACAAAACTCCACTGTAACAAAGAGTGCTGTGAAAACAAAACATCCAACTTCAAACAAAATTTTGACAATTCAGTAGTTCAGTTTTCATCAAGAATGTCAAAGTTTAATGTACTAAAAATGCTATTTTCATATGAAGAAGATATGCCTCAAATTTATTGATCAATTTATATGTTTTATTGTTTGTATTTCCAGTTCTCAAAGCTTTCAAATTTTCAATGAAAACTCAACTGGACTGTCAGTTTTGTTTGGAGTAATATTTGATGTGTTGTGAAAACAAAATCACTCTACTGGATTGTTTTCACAGCACTCTTTCTAGGTGAATAAATTAGTATTACAACCATAACAAAACAGTGAACTATAAACTACATCATCCTAATAATAAATTTGAAATGAAAAAGATCATATTTCCCCTGGACATGCTATTCATCTTTTTCTCTATAACATATTGATTGAAATAAATTCATAAAATTTTTTCCCAAAAAGTTGTATCAAATAATGTCCAAAGAAGTGCTCCTTGATTAAAAAATCTAGGTACACAAAAGATATTTAACATCGCAGACAAGATTCCTAACTGTTAATATTGCAGAAAACAACTATAGGTTTGTTTTTGCAGCAGTCTCAAACTGTTTTCAAACTATCAGATCTACTCGGCCAATTAAGTTGTCTCGTACTTTCAGTGAGTATGAAGTTTATGAATCAATTGGTCAAATATCTCTGATAGTTTCAAATCAGTCCTGAACTGCTGCAGAAACAGACCTTATGGGCTACACCCAAGAGTACTATTTGGCTTTGTTGATTTTTTTAGGAAAACATTTTTGAATTTTAAATTGCCTTAATAGTTTACAAACGCAAAATAGAAATTTTTAAAAGGAAATTTAGTAAAAAGGTAAAATACTGGTTAGATAAAAAAAATCCGTAATCTAGTCATATTCACAGACACAACAGTCGTTTAAAAATGTCATTTTTTAATTCTAGAAATTTTATTGCATCGGTGTGCAATTTTTTGTTTATTTTTTTAAATTTTGACAAGATATCTGCTTTTTTACTTTTTGTACTTAATTAAAAAACAATATAAACACTGAAGAATACATTCTTCAATTTTTTAGCAATTCATATTGAATACGCTCGGTTTATGTGAAAGAGATGTCCTGGCGAATCGCTGGCGTTCAGCCACTGGTTTTTGCAGAATATTTTTTATTATTTTTTTGTTAGTAGTTAGTTCGATTCACGCACACATAGCTTTTTGTTGAATATTTCGCTACATTGGAATAATTAATAATTTTGTGTAATTGACTGTGAGTGAACCCTATACTCGGCGGCCGAAATTATAAAGAGTGACTAATACATAATATAAAAACACTATTACCATAATGCGTATAAAATATAAAATGATTTCTATACGGTTCAATATTATTTATCTTTGTGCCGCTCATCATGCACATCGGTAGAATCTATAATCGTGTATAGACTTACACTGAACGTCGATCTATATTTTATCTCTGTCTTTTGCACTTGGTAGGGAATAGGGAAATGCTTTTTTAGTGGGTGTAAACGGACTTGATTTGCCCGACCTGAGAAATGTCATAGCATAAGCTTAGACGAGGGGTCTAATTCCATGGCTATAATAAATTTATAAATTAAAAAACACAACTGGGACATTTTAAAATGCTGTAATAATTAAAATTGATCATAGTTATAGCAAACCGTAAAAAATATTAGATGTTATGTTTTATTATGTTTTTTCAATATTTTCTATATCTTGTTGCCTTTTACGCAGACACGCCAATGGATTTTCGTTCCCAGCACGCTTCATACCCCTTACTAGTCCAAGAGCTAGCGATGAATCACTATCTATAATTTTGGCCGTCGAGTATAGGTAGAAGTTTGTCAAGTAGTGCATTTCCTTTTTCCCTATCCTTTTGCTGTTGACAGGAAGAAAAGTCCATTGCATCACATTTTGGTGAGTTGCTTAGTTTTTTTATCTTTTATTTTAATATACAGGGTATCTGCAAATTGCACCGACAATGTTTGACTGCATATTCACCACGATAAATGGAAACGATCTACGAAAAAAAGTTAAATTAAAAATTTTTAGTTTTCGAGTTACAAGCCTTCAAAGTTTTCAAAAATAAAAGAGACAATTATTTTTTTAAATAAAATGACCTTTTCAATGTTGCTTTGCTGCCCATTTTATAAAAAAGTACAACCACTGTGAAAGTCTTGACTCTTAAAAGGGAGAGGTAACCGGTGAAAA